GCATTAGGCAACAGTTTGGAATCAGAGACTGTCAGATTTACAACATAACACAAAATTACCCTTAGGCCGACTGACAACGTTCCGCTAAACTTACCACTGACGGTACTGGCGTGCATGCGGTAACTTTTTACCTTAGGCGTTATGACCTATCTCACTCTCGTCACCTTCACAAATTCAACTTCTAAACAAAGAAGTGCCTTGGACCGTAAAGGCCAGACCCACACAAATGGTGTTAAATCTGAGAGAAAAATGACCAACACACCTCTTCCGTTTTTAGAGCTATCGATGGTCAGACCATTCATAACTAGCTGATTGGAAGATATGATGACACACTTCCCAAGACACTTAACTACACATTACAAACTTGAGCGACTTTGAAGAATTTAATCATATCCTGCAGATTACGTTGGCCGTGCTTCTCCTAACCCCTAATATGCTTCACTCAGCATAGCAGAAAATTAAGCACGAACACGGTTTAAACATTAAGCCACACTAGCTCCGTCTTTTTCTCAATAATGACCATGGGACAGGTAGAGTATGAGCATAATTTTCGCTTCCTATTCGCACGATGTGAATGTACTTCCGGCACTGTAGATGGTAGCCGTAATATAGTATCTTCTTGGATATGCAGCATCAAAATGCGAGATCTACTTTTTGGTACCTCAAGAGTCAGACGTGAAAATCCGTCTGGTCATGAAGTCCGAAAAGTTTAGCAATGTTGTAAATCAATAATGACAGAGCATAACCTTCACTCTATCAGGAGAATCCTTATTAATCAGTCATATTAAAATAGATATTGTTACATGAACGATGTTCATACAGATGCTTCGCTTGTATAAAAAAAATTGTGGTCGATATGTAAATGTAAAGTTTGCGTTGACTCCAGAAATCAAGTAACGAGGAAAAAATTTTCTTACCTCCACTATCACTTATATTCGTTCTCAAAGAATGGAAAACGCGCCTGCATCTAGCCTTCCAGCCTACTGGCATGGGCTAACATTAGATACTCCATATTGCATTTTTACATGATATTTTTCCCCTTGCCTTTCCTGTATAGGACTGTTATGACATTCCCATAATTTCAAAATGCTTTACAAATAAAAAACCAAGTAAGTCATCGCTGACAGGTGACTAACCTTAAACGATAAATAATACAACGAAACAAACTCTTGCAGCAAAGATATTTGTTACCATTTACACAAAACTGATTAGACACAAAAACGTTTCATATGAAACACACATACTTACCATGGAGTCAAGTTTCTAGGCCTATCAAGTAGTCAATAAGTAAATACTGTTAACATGCAAAATATAATATTTGCAGCTTTTGCAACTAGGATTCAATCGGCTACTACAAGTCAGCAATATGTTTTTGACAGACTAAGTATACCCTGTCCAACAAAGGTTTTACTAATGTAGATATTACCAATAAACAAAGCCAAGCATCCAGTAAATATTAAAATACAGAACTAAAATCTTACTGATCACCCTGGATGAGTACTAGCAGGCAGTTGTGAGCGACTGAAAACGCAGCAATATAGATTAAGATGTCAATGCCAAACGTGAAAAGGAAGTAATAGTTCATCTGATCTGTTGTGGCACCCAGAACAACCAGGTGCGGATCAGCATTCTTCTTACTGACTTTAAACTACACAAAATAAATTCAATACACTACGTACAATTAGCCATCTGCAAGTTAATGGCCTAGGACAGATAAACCGAGACGGTGCAGTTCTGTAGACATAGTGTCTGGGTAATTTACGGTAAAGATTTTAGATTATCTTCGCCTACCATCTGACCTTTAAAAAAAACGAAAACCTTCCAATTTTAAAGCGCTGAAACGCTGGATCAGCTAACTCAGTACTGTAATTGACATAAATCATGCTACGATGCATAGTCACTTGCACGCATTCCGGAATAACGGTACGACACGAGGAGCAATATAGCGTGCAAAATTAATAAAAAATGTAAGCCCAAAGTCTCCTTTTTCAAAAAAATCAAGTACAATGTCTAACTTTCTATTTAAGATCTAACCGGCCTTATATTTGGATCATAATAAGCCATAGGCATAAACATGTTTTTCAAAAGAACATGTAATCATTTTACACATGAAGATAAAACAAGGCGACATGTACAAAGAACAGTGGCAGTGACAAATGAGAATTACTCGTGGAACCCCGCAGATAATATCGAATAAGACTGCTGAAAGAAGTCAAATATCTTGCAAACTATCAAAACAAAAAGTTTATTAACAATAAGTTCGAATTGGAATTTTTTAAAGCCTTTAAACTACCGTGACAATAAATCTGACGAACAATGTTAAACTCTTGACGATGAGAGGAAATAGATCAACGTTAAATAACAATAACCTGCTACTGTCTTTGGAAAAACACGCGGATAATCTACAGCGTTTACAGAAGTATCTGAAAACCAAGCTCAATTCAAA